TAATTCTAGTTAATTTTCATGTTTTAGACCTAGACCAATTTCAGAGGGGTTTAACAGTGCATGTGCAAATGTGTTTTTTAAACCCCGTTCGCTAGTTACATTATTTTATTTTCCATTACTATCTTCCCGATTCATGTTTCATACAAGACGATCAAATTGTATTTTGTACATATTACGAAATAAGGGTAATTCAAATAGAAATTCATTTAAATCTTGCCTAAGTTGTTGACGAATAATGAGACCAAATAATTTGCGTATGCATTTATTAAAATAATCATTCACACGTGGGTATAATAGAACAAATTTCACATCTATGATACATGTTAGCGGAGAGAGAGAGAGAGAGTTGGAAATATGAACACGTGGACGACATTTGGTGGCACTAAAGCGACGCGATGTCCGAGCCTACTACGTATTTCTCAATGAATATTGCGCCTGAGGTATGCTCATGACCACTTCTTCCAAATGGCGTCCACAGATATACAATTACAGCGGAGAACACATCTACGCGATCACGATCGAGATGGCGATGCGACCGCGATTGTATTCGTCTTTAATAAACAAAAGAGACCGCACACAACTTATTGCGACTTTTTGGCGTTCACAAAACGGCATTAGTTGAAATAATAAATTTATATTAATTTTCTAATTTTATTACATTACGTGATTAATCTAATTCGTTTATTGAGTAGCGGTTCTTCATCCAACAATGCGCTAAGTAGTACTGTACTTCCGCCGTAGCGCGAGTGTGTTCTCTGACAAAGGCGATTACGATCGCGACCACCATTGCTGCCACGGTCTTGATCTCGTACATGTGTTATCCGCTTATGGGAGTTACATCAGTCGATAACGCGGATTATTGCCTTTTTTCACAAAAAAAAATCACATATGGGGTAACGAAGATAATTTGCTGTACCACTGGAGTGTTGGCTTGCTTAAATTAAAAAAAATTAACGTTGCTTCAAACGAAGCATCTTAAATTAGTTTAATTTTTTTTTCCAAGTAATAAAATAAATCACGTAAATGTATTAATTTGCGCTGTTTTTTTTTCTATCATGTTATAGCAAAAAATTAACCACGTCACCCCGATGCAAAAGCCTGTACGTTGCATATTTTATGTAACTCCAACATCATCGAAGGCGGTCGCAAAACACACGGAAATTTGATCATCCTTTGCAAAAATCAAAAAAAAAAAGGGAAAGAAATTAACCGACACACTGAAATGTTATCTTGTGACCGCCCTGTACAGTAAAACAGCAACGGCCAAATAAATTAAGAAATCAGAAGTGGGACGAAACGCGAAAGTGGGAGCAGCGAGACGCTGGGAATGGTCGGAATACGAAGACATTTGGGAATCGTTCTTAACTTAATTGGCCGTCGGAATAAAAGAAATTACACTACAGATAAAAAATGTTTCACAAACAATGATAAAATGTTAACATCGGTACCGGCCGAGTTGCTAACTCGTCCGGTACACCAAAATACAAAAGAAACCCGTATAAATCTTTCTTCAATGCGCACGACATACATATTTTAAAGGATTTACACGTTAAAAGACATAACTCAATTTGCACAACATTTTATAACAAATCGAAAAGCGGCGTTCTGTTACGATCCGTGAGGAATTAATTTGTTCGAAAATGGTATGGCTCGTTTGGCAAAACGATGACTAGACTACGAATTTAAAAGTACCGTCGAGACTAGGTCACACAAAATCGGCTTGCACAAATATTTACTTTTTTTTTTAGAAAAGCAAATGCGCCGCATTCTCGCAAGGGTCCCGTAACAGAACACGACTTCGTAGCTACTTTATAAAAAAGACTAATTGGTTGGTGTTCTCTATCAACGAAAACGAAAAGGGGAACTTGGGAGTAGAAAAATACATTAAATATCTTTTGAGGTCTATACCCTTGGGTTCGTTCTACTGGGCGTCAACAGATTTTCATTTTTTTTTTTTTTTTTTTTACAGTAAATAGTAAATCTGTGACGTTACGCGCAACACATAATGAACACCACACGGTTATCGCAGATCTTACTAAATGAACTTTAGGGAGAAGGGATCCAGTTTTAAATGAATTAGGGGGGGGGGGGGGGGGGGCGATGAAACCTTCTGGGACACTCGGAACTAATAATTCGTACAAAAATATGGGAATCTGAATAGTTTTTAAGATTTGCTAGTTTATTTTAATTTAGACCTGAGAACATCTTTCCAATCCCGGGAAAATCCATAAACGTGCCTTGAAGTCCGCACTAGTGCAAAATTAAACCGAAAATTGGGGCCCACAGCAATTTAAAATTAACTAATTAACAGCGATACACGGGCTAAAAATCCATAATATCAAATATATAATACAATATGTAATAATGTTATTAGAGGTGCTAGTCTCGTTCCTCGTTAACAACACAAAATTTTGCAAGAGCCCGGGAGGAATCGGGTCAGGAATTACGAAACGGCAGCTGATTTGGCCCCAGGGATTCTACCGAGAACCTTGGAAAGATCTACTCCTGTTAAGGCATTGACGGCTGGCGGTATCTGTCCCACTAATCGGGATATCTCTGCGGTCGTATTGTCCTGACCGCCTATCAGCACGATCTCGTCCGTCTTAGCAAGGGGCGCTGCCACTTCGGCCGCAATCTGAAAGAACATATTTTTATTATCTGAACCAAAGTGTCGTCGAAATGTTGGTCTTACCTTTGGAAGAGCCTCCAGAACGATGGCCATAATGGCAGCATCCCCGTACTGCTTGTAGACGGCGGCTTTCTGCCTCATCCTCTCTGCATCCGCTTTGCCAATGCTGCCGATCGCCGAGGCTTCGGCCGTGCCTATCATTTTGATTTTCTCGCTCTCCGCCTGAGCGTTCTTCACCGTCTGGGTCCTGAAACAGAAGGAATATTAATGATCTCGGCTGAATATCTCGCTTTTTCAGACTCACCTCTTTCCTTCAGCGATGACTTCCAGCCGGTAGCTTTCGGCCTCGGCGGGCAACCTCACCGTGGCGTTCAGTTCCCCTTCCTTCCTCTTGACCTCCTGCTCTTCTATTTCTATTTGCTTCTTCCGCTCGACCACCTCGATTTGGATCTCCTCGTTCCGAATTTTCTGTCGGATCTTCGCCGCTTGCAGTTCGTAGGCCAGCTGTGCTTGTGCTTTCTGAAAGAGACGATGCCATTAAAAAAAACGGCTTCTGATGATGTGGGATTCACTACGCTGAATATAAAAGTGATTTCGTATCGAACTAAACAATTTAAGTGATTCACAGAAATTGTCGCTGGTGTATTACCGGTAGCGGCCTGTAGAATGTGGAAACAAATAATTATCCAAGACAAATTTTGGTAAATTTAATACGAGGAATAAAAAAGTTTTGAAAAAAACCCAGTTGAAATGCAAAAAATTATGTATTTTAATTTTAATAAATAAATATTTTACGTTTTTCCAATATAAATACAAAAATTACCATTAAACGCTACATTGTACAAATTACACCTATGTTATGGAGGTTGCGGAATGTTAATATAAAAAAAATCACGAAACTGATCATTATTTACCACTTTGGCGCTGATTCAAATCGAAAACAACAAAAATTAAGGAGTTATTAAAGAAAAACAAATATTAGTGACAGTAAACTTACGGCAGTGTTGATTTCTTGATCGAAATTAGCTTTCTGTAGCTTGAACATCCTGGAATTGTCCTCGATTTTCGTATCGGTCGCATATTTGATGTCCATCGCGGATTTCTGGCATTCCGCTTCCTGAAAAAAATGAAAGTATCATTCGATTTTAAATTTATCAGACAAGGAAATTTCCCGGGGTACTCACCCTGATCCCGGCGTCCCGATTGGCCTCTGCCACCCCGGCGTCGGCGTCCCTCTTCACCATGGCCGTCTGCGCCTTGCCGAGTGACGCGAGGTACTGCACCTCGTCATAGACGTCCTTGATGGTGAACGAGAGGATTTCGATGCCCATGCGGCCCACATCGGGGGCCGCCACCTCCCGCACGAGCGCCGCAAACTGGTCCCTGTCGCGATACACCTCTTCTACTGTAAGAGTTCCTGCGGAAAGGAGATGGGTTGGAATTAGTTAGAGATTTTGTTGTCGCAACACTGAGCTGGAGAAAAGCAAAAAAATACAAAATATTTGCAGAAGCTGAATCTTGTTAAAGAACAGAATATTTTTTACGAGAAAATTTGCGGTATGGTCATCATAATCATAAAATAGGCGATATCAGACTCTGACCAATTTTGATTTTTTTAATTAAGAAATCCCCTTGAATCTTCAACCTTTTCTATTTTTAATCAGATACCACTGCATTTAGCAGGTTTAGATCAAATAAAGTAATCAAATAAAAAATAAAAACAAATACTGTAATAAAATGTAGCTGTTAGACAGTCGTATTTTGAGCATAAACAAATGTACACCAGCTGTTTCATGCAAAACTCCCTGGAAAAAGTCCGGTGAAAAATTTCGGGAAAAAACTCCGAGAGAAGTCCGGGTAAAGAGTTAGGGAAACAGGTCCGAAGAAAAAGTTCAGAGGAAAACCGTAAAAAAGTCCGGCTAAAAAGTCCGGGGAAAAAAATCCGGGAAAAAAGTCCTGGAAAAAGCTCGGGGAAAAGTCCGGGGGAAAATCCGGAGAAAAGTCCGGGGAAAAGTCCGGAAGGAAAGTCCGGGGAAAATTCCGGGGAAAAAATCCGGGGAAAAGTCCGGGGGAAAATCCGGAGAAAAGTCCGGGGAAAAGTCCGGAAAAAAAGTCCGGGGAAAATTCCGGGGAAAAGTCCGGGGAAAAGACCGGGGAAAAAGTCCGGGGAAAAGTCCGGGGAAAAAAATCCGGGGGAAAATCCGGAGAAAAGTCCGGGGAAAAGTCCGGAAGGAAAGTCCGGGGAAAA